CTTGGCAGCTATTACAAAACTTTGCTAATTTCTGTCCTAGTGTCCAGTTGTACTTTTCTACCATCTCATCAGACTGTGGGTGAAGTGTCTTTCGGATGCCAAACAACTTGCAGCATTCTTGGAATACACATGTTACAAAGTTACGGCCTTGATCTGAATGCAGTTCATATGGCATACCAAATTTGAAGAAGAAGTCACTAATAGCCGAAGCTACATTTGTAGCTTCCTGATTTGGTATTGCATATGCCTCTGGCCACTTGGTGAAATAATCCATCACCACACAAATGTACTTGTTTCCAGCACGAGTTTGGGGCAGAGGACCAGCAATGTTGACGGCTACTCTTGCCATTGGTGTGCCAACTTGATGTAACTTCATTGGGGCACGTCCCTTATGCTTGGGTCCCCTTTTAGCACATGTACTGCATGTTCTGCACCATTCTTCCACATATTGTCTCATACCTATCCAGTAAAATCTGTGTCGTAGGTGACTCAATGTTTTCTTAACTCCGAGATGTCCTCCTGTTATATTATCATGGGATTGACGCAACACAACTTCCCGTAACTTTCTCGGTATAACCGTTTGCCAGGTCGTCACTTTCCCATCTGCAGTTTCCCATCTCCGGACAAGAATACCATCTTCAAGCCTAAACTGGTCCCATTGTGCCCAATAGTTCTTTGTCACAGGGCTTAGACTAGACAGTCCTTTCAAGCTCGTTGCCAGATATACTGCTTTCTTCTCCTCTGTCCATCCGTTCATCTTTGCCAGTAGCTCAAATTGTGCTCTATATGCTTCCCACGGTGCTTTCCCATCGTATTCCTGTGGCTTCCTTTGTACTGGATCACTCCTCGTACTGACATTCATATCTGGGATGTGACTTCTAACGGGACTGAATGTGTCTGCATTAGGGTTTAGCTGCATGGTCTGGAAGGGGCTTGTCATTGTCTGGGTCTGATTAAGTCGATGGTTAATGTATCCTCCTTGTGTAAATGACAATAAATCGTCCTTTAATGTATCTAATTCGCTTTTAAATTTACTAATGTTTTCGTTTGTACTTCTTGTTTCCTTTCTTATTCCAGTTGCCTCTGCTGTAGTTTCTCTTCTTGTCTCTTTTCTCGTTCCTCTTGTTTCCCCTCTTTTTCCTCCAACAACTGCTGTAATTTCCCTTCTTGTTGATTTTCTTTCTCTTCCTCCCACTGCTGTAATCTCTCTTGTTTATTTGTTCGAGCTGCCACTGTTGCAGGTTTTCCTTCCACTGCTATTGTCTCTCTTCTTGTTTCTTTTCTTTTTCCTCCAACAACTGCTGTAATTTCCCTTCTTGTTGATTTTCTTT